TCACCGTTTTGTTATGAACACACACGGATATATAAACAACGCCGTTCAATGCATAACAAAAAAGTTTTCGAAATATACTTTTCTGATAAATTGTTTCTTGGTTATTTTTAATGAAGGAAATGCCAATCCCGATCCATGGTCTGGAGAGGACTACATTGAAGCGGTCTGATAAGAATCAGACCAGCTCGAGATCGAACAGATCGCACGATCTGGTCGGCTTGGATCTTGAGAAGAAAAAAAATTGAATTAAATTCAAGAAAAAATCCAAATATGTGTCTCCAAAAGAACCAATGAAATAGTAGAAAATATCAGTAAACAGACGGTTAAATCTTGCTTAAAACCACGATTTATCGTAAAAATCGCTGGAATAATCGGGAATAATCGGCGATTCTATCGCGATTCAGCTCACGATTATCGTTTCGATGAATCGGGATTAATCGGCAATTTTTAGCCGATTCAAAGGACATGGGATCGAACACGAATTTCAATTGGCTTCTTTTTTATTAAATAATTTTCAATTTCATTCTCATTAGTTTTCGATGTGATTGCTTTTGTTCCTGTTGAACTCGTGCATTCATTCGATGATTTACTGGTAACAACAGATATACTTTCATCTTGTGTAAAAGCTCTAGAAACTGATACTTGACGTGAACAAAGATTATCTATACGATATAAACTACTATTAAGTGGTGTATTTTTATACATTGATAATGATATTGGTGGTGCATTAGAAGAAAGAGGAGAAGTAGAAGTTGAAATTTGGTTTGCAGAAGATTCTTGAAAATGTGGATATGATATTGATGTTGATTGTGGTTCCAAACAAAATATTGTTTGAAGTGATTGAGCAGGTAATGATTGATGATCATTTAGATGATTATTCTCGATAATATGTATTACAGGATCAGTTAGAATTTTTTGATAATGAGCATGATGTTGATAATGACCAGCCCCAACTAAAATATAAGACAAAATAACAAATAAGTATTAGAAATATTTATACGAATGTTAACTTACGTAATAAATTACTGTTTGCATTTATTGCCATTCTTTGTTTTGATTAATTTCTGATAATTACTATGGAAAATTTTGTTTCTTATTCAAATGAATATTATAAAGGATATGGTTAAAGCTAATATTATGAGAGAATTCAGTTAGTATATCACTAGGTTTCTTGTTAGAGATATGCAGAACCAATGTGGATGTGGGTGTGGATATGGATATGGGTGCTCAATTCTGTCTCAGCAACACCCGCACCCTTGCTGCCGACCATATGACTTCCTCATTTAAGGATTCGTAGAAAATTTACCATTTCTGACATCACGGAAGAGAAGAGGGTCCTTTTTGTGAGTGCGTTACCGGCATATATTTTTCTTATAAAATATGCGAACCATACAGTCAATTTAGATGAAATTTCCAGACATTAAAGAATTTCATAGTATCCATCTATGCACAAAATTTCGAGACTCTAAACTTAGTTATTTCCGAGAAATTGAGATTGAAACTTGCCAAAACTTGAGTGCGTTACCTGCGGGCAAGCCGATATGTTTTTATTCATTTTGGGTGTGGGCGTCGTTGATTATTTTATGATTATCCACACGCACACGCTCAATGATTCAATTTTTGCAAAATGATGATGCACATTGATCTGATACACACGAACGGTTTCGATCATCAGTAAAAGAAAAAATCAATTCTTAAGTCATTATAAAAAGAAATATTTTTAATTTTAGATAGAATCTAAATTACATCATCAGAATTCTATTTATGCCTCAAATCCTACATCATCATCTTAATCTCGTCTTATTCGACAATCACCTGAAGAAGAACAATATCGTAGTCCTCAAGATCTTATTCGTCATCGTGGAGATAATGAATTTGTCATTCGTACTAATATTCTATCACAATAACAACAAGTCTATTCACCAATAAATCATCGTCTTCTTTTACAATATTCAAATAACAATCATTATCAACATCCAGATTTAGTGGAATGCGGTGGTTTAACATTGTCATCATTTTCATCATATCGTGAACAACAATCAATGATAATGAAATTTAGTAGCATAAGTGTACCAAAATCAGCATCAAATGGAAACAATACAGAACCATCAGAAAGACCTAATATTCATTTACCAATAATTATTCGACAAGCTCCATCACCACCACCTCTACCATTCATTCAGCTGTTTTTGTAAGTTCGTTTTATATTTAAGTCAGGTCGAAAAAGACGTATTCTCCATCATTACCTTGATAAATTTTTAAACCGTCAAAAATCTATTTCAGACAAAGAACAACTAGACATTCATGAATGAAAAAGAGTAATTCGCTTCAGCCACATTCTGTGGTCTATTTTTTTTTTGTTATAAAATATCGAGAATATGATTGGTTCCAAAAATGAATCCCTAATACTCGCTTACATATGGATGTCCTCGCTTAATTCACTTATTCATTTAATTTTCTCTAACATGTACAGGTTGTTGTACATGTTCGATAGATAGAACAATGTTAGACTAGACCGCTCGCACATGCTTTGTCTACGAATCTATTTTTCTTCGTCCGCTTCGTTTTTCATAGCAATATAAAGGCGCGCAAAGCATTATTTTTTTCAGAAACATCGTACACTATTACAAATAACAAGTACATTATGTGTCGACAATATTTCAACGTAAGTAATATTTATCGTTTCTTTATTTGAACTATTTCATCCTTCTTTTGCAGTCAGAAGAATTTGATTACACCAATTTGAATTTTGGTCATTTAAGTTTATACAAAATAAATTTAAGTCTATTTAATTAATTTAAGATTATTATAATTTTAGCGGCGATCAATGGATATCGAAGCAGCAGCAAATAAGAAACAAGAATTAATCAATGGTTTCCAAAACTTGATTAATGAGAAAGATAAGCGAATAGAAGCTTTAATTAATGAAAAAAAGGAAAATGAAAAGAAATATCAAGAAAATATTACAAAATTAACAAATGAAATTAGCCAAATAAAGGAAGATTTCAAAAATGAAAAGAAACACCAAGAAGATATTACAAAATTAACAAATGAAATTAGCCCATTAAAGGAAGATTTCAAAAATGAAAAGAAATACCAAGAAGATATTGCAAAATTAACAAATGAAAATCAGGAATTACAAAAAAAGTTGGTCGTTATACCTCAATCAAATACACCAGGGATTAACAATTATTTACGAATTATGGAGTCTATGGGTTTTTTTAATTCAAATTGAATTTTGAAAAAAAAAATAACAGCCCATTTTTACCAAGACAGAGGAACTAAGGGGACTAAGGTGACTAAGGGGACTAAGGTGACTAAGAGGACTAAGGTGACTAAGAGGACTAAGGGGACTAAGAGGACTAAGGGGACTAAGGGGACTAACTAACCGGCCTAAGGGTAGGAATAATGGTGTACACAGAGACGTGCATGGGTCGCGGCTCTTCGGGGGGCGCTTCGCGCCCCCACGCCGCGACGCTGAAATAAAAGGTGTGTTAGGTGGAGAAACACGCTTCCTCACTGAATAGTCCGCTTAGTCCCCTTAGTCCCCTATTTCAATTTGAAATCAAGTGCTCTTTTTTCTTTTTAAATTCAGATTGAATTTAAATAACCCATTGTATGGAATTATGGGTGGCGTACCAGGGATTTGCAAATGCTTAACAATTGTTGGTGGTGTACTTTTATACACAATTTATCGGCGAGGCAAATGAATCGCATTATTTCGATTCATAAACATCAATGTTTCTGGTTTGATTAAACTGTTATTGCTGTACTAGTAATTTTTCTTCTTTAGTTGCTCTTGTACTGGTAATCTGTCTCCTCCAACTATTGTTGTTCTTCTAGTTTGTTTTCTCTTTCAGCTTTTGTTGTACTTCTGATTTCTTCTCCTTCAATTAATTGTACTTGTGCTTTTTCTGTAACTGTTCTTCTAGTTGCATTTTTTCTCCTTCAACCGTTGTACTTGTACCTTTAGTAACTTGCGTGTGTTATGCTTGTTTTTTTCTGCTCCAACTATTTCTCTCGTACTTTGTATTACTTCTTGCGCGTGTTGTACTTGTACTTCTCTAATTGTTGCACGTATTGTACTTGTTATTTTTCTTCATTATGTACCTTCTAATCCTTTGCGATTAAATAAAAATAAAATATTCTAATATGTATCAACAATCCCATGTCCTTTGAATCGGCTAAAAATTGCCGATTAATCCAGATTCATCGAAACGATAATCGTGAGTTGAATCGCGATAGAATCGCTGATTATTCCCGATTATTTCAGCGATTTTTACGATAAATCGTGATTTTATGCAAGATTTAACCGTCTGTTTACTGATATTTTCTACTATTTCATTGGTTCTTTTGGAGACACATATTTGGATTTTTTCTTGAATTTAATTCAATTTTTTTTCTTCTCAAGATCCAAGCCGACCAGATCGTGCGATTTGTCCGATTCTTATCAGACCGCTTCAGTGTAGTCCTCTCCAGATCATGGATCGGGATTGGCATTTCCTTCATTAAAAGTAACCAAGAAACAATTCATCAGAAAAGTATATTTCGAAAACTTATTTGTTATGCATTGAACGGCGTTGTTTATATATCCGTGTGTGTTCATAACAAAACGGTGAATGAATAATTGTCATGATTTATCAATGATTTTTGAAAATCAGCTCTTCTCCCATAATCGCGATAAAATCTGATATAATCGTCGATCTTTTAAAGAAATACGATAAATCACGATTTTACGCCAATTTTTTAGAAAATCGCGAAAATCGCGGTGATTCTCAGGACATGGGATGATACATACGAAAAAATATTTATATGTTGAATATAGACAAATAACAGTAATAGAATAAAAAACAACAACTACGCTTGACTGGTTAAATGGAAATAAATATAAAGGAAAAATATTCTAATCTAAATTTTCATTGTTTATTTGTTGATTATTTAAATATGATACATTGGGTATTTTCATAATAGTTTTCTAAACCTGTTTTTATCTATTGCTTTCATGGACCTGAATAATAAACAGTAGCAATACCACTTAATGTTATATTTATTTCATCAATAACTGTTATATAAATAGTTCCAATACTACTTGATATAAGATTGATTTTTTTTGTTAATAAATTTCGACATTCAACAGCACCAACACCTAAAGATTTTAATGTAGCTTCATTATTAACTTGTCCACATAATTTAATACGACCTATTGAATGAAAGATAAGCATCAAGAATATTAACATTTAATTTTAATTTTATTGAGCCAGTACTACGATTATGTAAACGAAATATATTTGTTTGAATTTGATTTATACATTGAATATAATCATTCCATCAATATGAAGTTCATTTAATTGTTGATACATTATTAATAATGTTATATTTGTTTTAGTATATATATTTAAATTTTCCATCATACGAATTGTTAATATATCATTTTGTTCAATATCAATTGAAATTAATTTATATATTGATTGTTCAGTTTCAACATCAACTGATGTATAATTATCATTTGAATTTATATTACGATACAGTTTAACGTTAAATGGACCACCTAATAAATTAATTTTTGTAAATGAACGACTTCTCAATAAATGAATTTTATGAGTCATTGAAGTCGATGGATTTAATGAAGATGATGGTCATGGTGCACGTAGAGAAGGTAAATCTGGCCTAAAAAATTATAATTTCTTTGTTGTCCATTTATTAAATGAAATAAGAAAAAAAGATTCAAAATCAAAATCATTATTGCTTGTGTTTTGTATATGAACAAAATATACAAACTGAGCAATGATAATCTTTTTCTTTTCCCTTTACATAAGAACAATAACTCATTGAATTGCAAAAATATTTGAATATATATGTTGTAGTCAAAATTAAAATTCAGTCAAATTTCAAATTTGACTGAATTTTAATTTTGATCACAACATATATATTGACCTCGAGAATGAATAGGACATATAACCATAATGAGGATATCTTTTACTATCATACTTTATTTACAATAGAATAAAACAAAAAAATTGGAAAGTGTTTTTTTAAATTTTATGTAATTCTTCATATACTTGATAACCTTCTTTTTGATATTCTTCAGCAGTTCTAACTCGATTAATTGAATCAAGTATAGCACAACCTACAATAAGAATACCAGCATCACGTCCATAAATTGCTTGCCATGGTGTTACATATTGTTGACGAAGTTGATCACCGGTATTATTCAAATGAACACCTAATTTAATAAATCGATTACAAGATTTTTCTTAGATCATATTAAACAATTTACCTGGAGTACAATGAAGATATTTATTACTAGTTGTTAAATGTAATTGGGAAATAAATCCAATAACAAAATCCGAATATTTATCAGTACATCTTATCACACCTGTATTAGAAACAAGAAAAACCTTGTTTGAACAATGTAGATTTTTTGATTCGAACCTTTAACATAATCTTCATTATCTGTAAGAGCTCCTTTTGATGACATTTGTGCTATTAATAAACATCCACGTGGTTCATTGATTAATTGTGCTGTCTAATGTTTATTATTTTATATAGAAAAATAATTTATTAAATTTTTCATTCTTATAATTTACTTGTTCCAATGCTTGTACAATACCTACACCGGGTAAAACATGAACATTAACAAAATCTGCCCATTCAGCAATTCGAAAAAGACCTTTTGTATATTGTAATGTTACAGTATTACCAATATCAGCAAATTTTCTATATACAATAATAAATGAAATAAAAGTTATTGTATATTCATTTTTTATTACCGATCTTCAAGTAACAGAAAATTAAATTTTCTTGAAATATCTTTTAATTGTTGAATTTTATCCATTGAAAAATCCGTTAAAATATCACAATGAATTTTTAACATACAAATATTTGATCCAATTTGTTTAGATAACTAAAATCATAATAATGTAATTACAAAAAAAAAAATTCTATTTAATAATTTCATCAAGACTTATTAAATCATCAGATAAGTAAAGATTACTTTTTTTCTTTCATAATTTTTTGAAATCGTTGAAGAATAGGAATAATACTTTTATTTTCAATTTCAGTTTTTAATGCAGGTAATTGAGTTTGATTTTCACGTATAAATATTTGAGCATTCTTTAAAATTCCTTCAGTAATTTTTCCATATTTAACAAGATATTCTAAAACTTTTGAAATTGTTAAAACTCTAAAATAAAATTTTATTGATTTATATAATTCAATAATATTTGAAATTTACCGATGAAGACGAATTTTTTTTCTTGTAAATTATTTTCACCATTTTGTTATCGATCAAAAAATACAATAGCATCAGTCACTTGTAATCCATCAGTACGCAGACTCTATAATTATTTGATTAAAAAAAATTTTCAAGTACACAATTGAAAAACAAAAGTCAATAATTCAATTGTATTGCTACATTCTGCATAAGTTTTATTTGCATTGCAACATCTTTTAATGCATTCGATACTTTAGCATTTCCATGTACGAAACCATAGACATGTTATGTTAAACCAACATCATCAACAAATTGTTCAACAAAATAACTAGCAGATCTTAATTGATGTCTTGGCATACGTGGAAATAAATGATGAACAGCTTGATATTGAAGACCACCATGAAAAAAAATCTAACCATGTTGGATATGCAATATCCATTGTTGTTCGAAGCATTTTCGATGGAAATGATTCACATGGCCCACAATCCTCTGTTGACATATCAAAATGTGATAATGTGATTTCAACATGTAATGGCATCGTTATAGTATTGCATATAAGCATATAAATAAAACATTGTGTATACGTTGGAATATACGATAATAAAATGATATAACAATACCACAAAATAAAAATACAACATATTTCAATAGAACGATATGGTGAAGAAGGATATTTATATAAATAAATATAGGATTGAAGTTGTAAATTGTAACGCGCAAAACACATAATTAAATAATAAGTTAAATGTTGAAATGGAATTAAACATGATGCAAGCCAAGTATAACGAAGAATACGTTTATGATAAGTCGAATAAAGTGATTGAACAAAACGTGACGCTACAGCAAAGAATGGGAAATGTTGAATATCTAAAAAAACAATTTACAATAAAATTTATTCACTAAGAAATCACTTTTGAGGTTTTTTTTGAGTCGTGTAGGATGAACTTCTGAATTTCTATAGAAAAAACTCTGTTAGTTTCTGAAATTTATAAAAAGAAAAATCTTCTGTTTCATTTTTTGGACCCATATTCATTCTTTTGAATATGACCCTGAGCCGCTCCCATAAGATAATCAATACTTTTTCCCCCTTATTTACATCCAACAATTCGTGGATAATGCAAGAGTTTCTAAACATATTATGAATTAAAACTGAATATAGACCCAAGATTTCTCGATGTATTTCGTTTGAGTGTGTCGTGAAGAGGTTTTTGAAGGACAAAAAAAAATTCTGTTATGATTCTATTCATCATAATAGAGTTTTCTTTAATCATTTAAATGAATGTTGAATGATTTATAGATGCTTTTAGTTAACGTCTTTGAACATTATCTTATGCTTTTCTTTGAAAACAAAAAAAGAAAGAAATGAATTATTGACCTGGATCATGCTCCGATGAATTTGTAACAAGATGATGAATGTTATGATGATGTTTCCACCAACCGATAGATATTCCACCTAATAAATTTCCAATAAAAATTCCAATAAACGAATCAATTCGATATAAATGTGTTATAGCTAAATGGCCGGCATCGTGTGCTGTAAATGTCAATTGATGCCAAAGAGCACCAAGAAATGCTGCTGATAGATAATAATGCCATGATGATGTTGCTCCAATAAAAACATATGTAGCAAAAAATGCAAGTAATAAATATCGAATACATTCCCAGCTATAATCAAAATAATTACAATCGAAAAAACTATATGTAGAAGAAAAAAAAAATTATTTAAATAAAAATAATCAAATCTTTACCAAGAAATCGAAATTTTAAATGAAGTTTTCTATATTCTTGAATGATATGTTTATATTTATGAAATTCTTTGTTGCATACTGAAGTTTCATCTATTAAAATATAATGATTATTGAATTCATTTCGTTTATAATAATATTCAATAGGAGAAATAAGTGAATGAAAATGATCATGATCTTCATCGACAATATCACCAAAATAATATAAAGGTAGTTTATTCTGTAGCATATGATCCGAATGATAAGCATTTATTTCATTAGTAGCAACCTATAATTTCGTTTTTGCACTGCTTTTTTTCTTTCGAGTCAAAACTTACTTTACCAATCATATGTAAAATAGCCAATTCACCACCGCGATGATATTTAATCCAAGTATTAAGACGATAGACTTTATTTTGATAAATAATAAGTAGGTCGTCATCTTTAACAATACGTCGAGCGATTTCTTCTCGTGTATATTTTTTCTTTAGAATATTAGTGTTATTCAACATTAGGATACTTGACGAGAAGAAAAGCAAACTTTATCGATCTAAAAACGAATGAAAATAATGAATGATAGATATGCGTGTTAAAGAGAAGTGACTTCCTATTATTCAGCGAATAATCTTTTCGTTTTTTTCTCAAAAAAAAGGTAGACAAACAGTAACATTTGAGCATGTATATATGATTATCTTTTCTCTCTTGAGAATCGCTCTATACACCAAACGAATAGAGAGTTTAGTTAAATGCATTCAAAGAAAAGAAAACAAGTAGATGATGAATTGTTGTCTTTGAGAATTTATCGTATCAAATATACGAAATGTACTTGTTATTGATTATTTGAAATATCTATTACATAGAAAACCGTTACAATCGATGTTGACATGTGCATAGCCAACAAACCATCCGAACAATATTACGTACTCGGCATTTACTCAAATATCCAAAAATACGATGTATATCTATTGTTATTCGTGATGCCTAGAACTATTCGACATTCAATTTTAGATAAAGAATTAATAATCTCTTATTTACTTGTTCAAAGTGAAGTATGATTCGCTGTTTTGTATTGGATCATACTACATTATCATTCTGTCATCGATACCTCCCTCTAATGATAAAGTAACATTCTTCAAAGAAATAAAAACCAATAAAAAGATAAATATTAGACATACATAGACAACATCTACATTCAAATAATCAGGGTCAATACTTATATGACTAGCAAATTATCTGATAGTCACTGAAATTAGTCAAATGTTTTTCTTTATTTCAAAATATCCTATTTTTATTTGATGATAGCCAAATTATTGTGATACGAGTTGAATATACATTAATTGACATTTGAAGAGATTGTTTTTATAATCAAAGCTTTACAAATTCTGTAGGGTAGTTAACAAGTCGCTTTCCTAAAAATAAAAAGGTTAGATATCTTCGCTACATTTTAACTCAAGCCATTGATTGTTTTTTTGATAACGTTGATAAATCAATATTCGCAATGTATACTATGTAACATTATCTTTGACTTCGGTAGTAAAGAACAGTAATTGTAAACAAGCGATTGAAAACGATATCACGAGAGAAAAGTTAACAGCGGATTCGAATATTTCTTGCTGACATTCGCTCATAGACTTGGGCTGGTTTTCAGAATGCTTGGGCTGGATGTAGAATTAAATTCTCTATCTAATGACGGCATTTTCAAGTGGGGTCATCGGACAAAAAGTGAGGGTTTTACCACAAATACTAGTTTTTGGACTCCGACGGATAGTAAGTCCTGCTGACATTCGCTAAGCGACTTGCGTTGAGTCTCAGAGTAGTTGGGCTAGACGCAGAATTAGATTCGTTGTCGATTGGTGTTTGTGTATTGTCAAAAGCAATCGTGGGTGATTGCGTTATTTAATTTACCTTGTTTATCAGAACTATTTAGCTATAATACGTACGTCGCTAGCTCATGTCGGATAACATGTTCTCACAGAGTACAAGCTGGTTTTATAAATATGAACAGTAATGTTCGGCCGTGCTCTTGTAATCAACAGCCAATTTATTGTCACATTGATCCGAACCTTGTTGAATAGAGCGGTGTCGCTACTATTAATGAAGTATTAATTATAGGAATGGTATAGGGGAATAAAAATAAATGCACTAACGTTGAACTATCGTCATCTACTTGCAGTAACCGTAGTGTATTAATTAAATTAACAGCTACTTGACATCATTAGGATCTGTGCACTATTTCATGTTCAATTAAGAACATGGAATCCTTTTGCATATCGATTTAACACTTAGTTTTGAAAACAGGAACGCCCATTTTTCAAGAACGGAGGGTTACGGGGGCTACAAAAGAATCATTATTCCTGACGACCATCAAACAGCCCACACTAAAATCTCTAATGAAGCAGGCGATCAACACGTCGAAGAACTCAGCAACATAAAACTAACTAAGAAGCAACCCCTTGTTCTGGCACCTGATTGTAACACATATAGAACATCGGCAACATGACTTCTAATCGTCATAGCTATATCGCCCTGTCTTTAGAGATGGGGACGGGGGTCTTCAAAAGTATTCATCATTTTCATAGCTATGGGCCCCCTTTATTTTAGAGATGGGAACTTGGACGTCTTGGGTAGTTTTTAGAATTATCACTCAACAAATCGCTATAGACCGCAGTTTTTCAAGGTATCAATCGCTACAGTTACGATCAAGACTTCTAAAAGCCCTCGAAAACTTTAGTCCTCCCGTCTCTACAAAAAGGAGCGTCTATAGCTATTAAATAATGGGTAATTCGAAAACCGGCGCAAGACCCCCTAGGCCCGTATCTCTAAAAAGGGCTGGATCAGTGAATAGGTATTTAATGATGAATAATAGTAAGGACCGTCGAAGATCCCCTAGTCCCTCCAACTCGAAAAAAGGGGGTGTTTATGTATGAATATTATAAATAATTCTAAAGACGCGACGTCCCTCTGCCTTTTTCAACTCGAGTGTCTTTTTTTCTTGAAAAGTCAGATTGAAATTAAATACTCCATAGTATGAAAACCTGACGAAGCAATTAGTATGTACTTATAATCTCATCGTTAAAAGTTCTATAAAATGTATTCTTGATGCTTTAAAAGATAATGCGTTAATTCTGAAAAAAATCTATTAAAGAATTTAGGTCAAACATATTATCAATACTTTTTCCTCTTCTGCTATCATGCATTTTCTTCTTCATTAGATGAAGGAAGATTATGCTACAAAAGGGAAAGGAAAGGAAACACGTGAAAAGCATGTAGACGATCTGGTACATGAATTAGTCTAAATTGTAAAAAAATTTTGTTTCATTAATCAATAAAATTTCTCTGTTGTTCGTGAAAATTTCTGTTTCTATGAATATGAACATCACTGCTTCATGCTATAATTTCCACAAAAATATTACAAAAATTGGGTGAGTTACACTGATATATAACTTTAAGCTGTAAATGAACTCTCTTATTACCCATCATTAGGGCATGCTAGCCTCCAAAAAGATGGGTCTTCCATTTAAAGAGATTGGCACTGCTCACCACTAGTCATAACAGCAAAAGGAGAATAAAGTGTCACTGATTACCAATCGAACAAACAGAATCATAATTAATATAAAGTCCCCGACACATTAGAAGACCCGGGGTCTTCTATTCTGTCTTATCGCTCATAAATTACAAGGGAGGTCTTATATTATGTCCCCTAAAAAGTTATATTTTTCAGTAGTCTTTCCAACAAATCTTTGTTTCAATTCATTTTTGTTCAATATAATCATTAGAAAAATAGTATTTTACTTATTCGACATGTGTATGATGAGAAAGCAACAAATGTTATTCTGTGAAAAAAGAGAGTATATCATTGATAATAAATATTCTTAGAATATTAAAGGCAACGTATCCGAACACTTTGATAAAAAGTCCACTAGAATTTTTTTTCTAAAAAATAAGATCTGTCATTGACCAAATTTTAACTTCTCAATAACTAAATAACTCAGAAAAAGAATTAACTTGTTTTGTCCAACTCAATTAAATTAATCGTTCTTGTTTATTTTTGACTATATAGTATTGATGGAATCTGTTCACATGAAAATCTAACAATAGCATATTTATTAGTCTCAAGCCAACGTCAATGAATACGTTTGTATTAAGAATAAGCAATTAATAAAAGAAAGAGTAGTTGGATACACATTTTGTGTTTTCTTCTTGGTCTTTTTTTGAAAAATGGCTTCAGGTTTTATTGAGAATAGAAATGTGTTCTAAGTCTCATGAGAAGTACTTACAAAAAACCGACGCGTATTAGAGACGAAAACCAAATCGAATTGTCAAATAATCTTATTCGATTGAATTCGCCTGAGGCGAACTGAATCCGATCGAAGATATTGCCGAATCGAGATTTTCTTATTCATTTCTGTCTTGAGCGTTTTTACATGAATTCACGTTTTTTTTTCAATTATGAAAGAATGCTTTGTGATGAATATGTTTCAGAATTTCTAGAAATCCCAGATAATTAGGCTTTTTAATTATTACACAACGAAGTTTCACCTAATATGCTACTATTTTACAAAGATTTGTTCATGCGTTACATCCACGGTTCTGCACTAAGTCCATTATAATCCAAGCCCATGAGAAGTTTTTTTGTATAGAGAACCATAAAAATTCCTTCTGAACATGCTGAAAAAGAGCACTAAAAAGATTCCATGATATGTGTTCTATAAAGAAATACATTCTTTACTAAACAGTTGTTTCAGATTCATTGTTTCACAAGACCTTTTTCACTTCGAACTGACGTATCATTTTCATGAAGGAAGCAAAATATTGTTCGTACTGACCCCCTAAGATATAATTACGAACTTAAATACTAAAAACTCCAGAAATTATTTGTAAAAAAATCGATTTTATCAGGTAGGTCTTCTAATATGTATTTTTCTTCATTTATCCAAGGGGGGTCTTCTATTATGGGGAGGAGTCTTCTAATAGATGGGGGTCTTCTAATGTGTCGAGGCTTTAGGTTTTTGTCTGAAACGAAAGAAGTATGTCAAATTCGAAATTATCAAAGAAAAATTTCAGCGTCCGCTCAAAATTTAAATACTATGACATATATTTAGTTCTGATATGGTCAACCATTGTAACTGCTAGACAAATCGCGAAATACAACAAAAATGCACATTTTTAAGACAGGTGACTTTTATTCACATTGACCTGTATTTATTTATTGTAAATATTGTTATCTTTCGAAAAATAAATAAAATTTCATTTCAAATTTTCATTTTGTCATTTCTACCGTTGTTGTATTAGTTAATTGTGCTCTTGTTTTTTCGTCTTTATAACGCATAGCACATCGTCGTTTATAAGGTATCCAAATTGTGCAAAGAAGAATTAAGATTTGATAAATAAAAAATAGAGAACAAAATATAAAAAAAGCATAACGATCTAAACGACACAGAGAATATTCTGGATACAACGAATGATGAATTTCATTAGTTGTAATTGATGGTTGAGATGCAGTTAAATATAT